TATATATATATACACATTTTTTTTTTTTCCCGGAATTTTCAGGAAAGTCCACTTTCATCTCTGATTCTAACATGTTGATCTTTTCGCCCATTTTGAGAAAATCTTTAAAAACATGTCAGAATCTAGGTAAAAATGTCACTTTTCAGAGGCCTTTTATTTCTTGGCACTTTTCAGAATCCAGGTCAACATGTCACTTTTCAAGACTTTATTCCAAAATGTGAAATCAGATCCGTATGAGGGTTGACTGGTTGGATAGCCGGGGTGCTGTAGTGTCCCCGAGACCCGGTCTGGTTGGGGGACACCTAGGATTCTTTCTTTTAGGATGTTTTAAAAAGGGACGAAATGATCAACATGTTAGAGTTCAGGTCAAGATGTATTAGTGGGGAAGCTTTTATTTTGAAAGTGGCCAACGCCGCTCACTGGCGGCAGATTACCGTAATGCACAGTAGTGACAATCGCAGTGGCGGCTCGCTTGACTTGCCAAGTCAAGTGGAGGCTGTTTTGACCGCAGTGTCAGGGGACGATATTTTCAGCAGAGTACACCAAACTATTGAAGAGTAAGACCTGGACTGGTCAAAGCTGGCCAGCAACACAACTGATGAGGCTCAGAGTATGGTGGGCGCGTCTCGGGGGGCTAATAGGACGCATGAACTGGGAGATGGTAGAACTGGGTTTCAAATTCACTGCCTAATACACCAACAAGCACTGTGCTGCAAAGTATTGACTTGGGATTCTGTCATGAAGGTTGTGGTGTCATGCATAAACTTCATCAGAGCAAAGTTGATTATTATTTATTTCATAAATGGTGTAATTTATTTCCTGGCTTTTTTTTTTCTGTGAAGAACCCGTGGAGGGTTATTTCGTTATTTATTTCATTAGTAGTCTTATTATGTATTTCCTGACTTTTGTTCTGTGAAAAATCCAGAAAATGATATTTGATTTTGTGTGGGTTTCTGGAAAACAATATTTTTTTACATTTAGGTCCTCTTGCAGTCACACTTTTTCTGTTACAAACTGACCCCGGCCCCACATCACAGAAACGAAAGGTTACCCTCACAAGAAAAAGTTTGGGGACCACTGCTCTAAATTGTCCCCAAGTGTGAATGTGAGCATGGATGGCTGTTCGTCTTAGTGTGCCCTGCGATTGGCTGGCAACCAGTTTAGGGTGTACACCGCCTACTGCTTGAAGACAGCTGGGTTAGGCTCCAGCATGCCCTGCGACCCTTGTGAGGATAAGTGGATCAGAAAATGGATGGATGGATGGGTTTTCCTTTGCCTTTGTCATCCAATGCTTGCTCATGGAGGGTCCAGTTGGTCTCTGTGTGTGTGATGAGTGTGGCTTTAGCCCTCCTTCATATGTAAAGTACTTGAAGACAATTTGTAACCATGGGGAGAAATACATTCGTAAAAATATGAAAAAAAAACCAAAATCCTTGCGCTATTGTTATCTCAGATAAATGAAATGGTTAAATCCAAGTGTCGTGGAGAGGTTTTCGAAAGTGATCTCATGTTTTTACTTGGTGCATTAAAGCCTTTATGATGTCATGTCAGAAACTGCAGATGCCGTAATTTGGTGTCTGTTGATTTTGTCATAAGAATGGAGAATCATGCACAACTCATGGTAAGGTCACCAGTTGAAGTTCATTGTTTCTGCGGATGGCTATTTCTTTGACTGGACTAATGGTACAATACAAAAATCTGTGTTTTACAGTTTGCATTAAAAAAAAAAAAAAAAAAAAAATCAAGTCCTACATTATGTGCTACTGTGCCAAAGGTGTGTTTTTAGATCGGATAGAACAGAGTTTGGGCCGCCTTGTTTATCTAATATCTTTCAACGTGTGCAGAGGGAAAGCTGATAAACTCTATTTAGGATTCTTCAGCTCAACCGCTTCAAGCGTCTACTGTATTCCTGGCGTCAGCCCGAAAACTCTGTCAAAATTTGGTAAATTTAATTAATTCTTCAATTCATTAATTTTTGTGTGTGTGGATGAAGGAATTTTTTGGAGCGGGTTTCCTGACAAGTCATTATTTTGGAGGCTTGAGGATTCCACCCGACGCCAGAAATCACCCGTATTCACAAATAGATGAGTCAATAATCATAACAATAATAATAGTGAGAAAAATCCAATATAATTGGGGACGGCACGCTGATCGACTTGTTAGCACGCCAGCCTCAGTGCAGAGGTACAAGGGTTTGATTCCTGTGTGGAGTTTGCATGTTCTCGCACCTGTGTCGGTTTTCTCTGGGTACTCCAATTTCCTCCCACATTTCAAAAACATGCATGGCAGGTTAATGGAACACTCTAAATTGTCCCTTAGTGTGAGTGTGAGCGCGGATGGTTGTTTGTCTATGTATGCCCTGCGATTGAATGGTGACCTAGTTTAGGGTATATACCGCCTACCACCCGAAGACAGCTCGGATAGGCTCCGGCACGCCTGCGGAACCTTGTGTGAAGCGGCTCAGATGGACGGACAGACCTGTTTATACAGTCTTGAGATGACAACTGTGTATTCTTTGTTACCAAGATTTGTTTTTCTTAATCGGCATATTTTGTTTAGTTCCTTTTGCAAACCTGAAAATCATGTACAACGCATAATGAATAGAAGAAACAACACACTATTGCTGCTTTTAGAGCCTGTTCAACTATTGTGGTTGAATCCTTTAGTTGTGAGAGTTGGACTAAATTTATTTATGCAACAAATAACTGTCATACTGGGAGGCCACAAACTGTTGTCCAGATGTGGACACCCGCCTTTGAGTTAATATCACTTGATTGTTGACAAAACGACAACTCAAACAGTCCAACTCTTCCTTTCATTCTTGTTGTGTTCAAATTTCAAACAATTAGCATACACTGTACAGGGTGAAAGTGATTCAGTGGTATTTGTGTGACGTTATTTATATTTCAAGTCTTGTTCATTATTTTGTGCCTGACAGTACTATATCAATGTGTTATGTTTAACCCCATAGAAATTAAATCAAAAGCCATACTCCCCCAGGAATCACAACAAAGATGTCACTCATCATCACAGGTATTAAAGCTTGAGTGATTTAACTGATACAGTATGAACTATTAGATTCTTTGCAGCTAAGTCCAAAAGTTAGGCCCAAAACCATTTGACATGAACACAGTTTTATAGGGGTGTTCACACGGCAAGATTTGCCCCGGCGCTACGCCAGCGCTGCGTCAGTAGAGCATTCACATATGCAAATTTGCTTCGGCGTAGCCCCGGAAAACAGCTTACACCGGAGCAAATTTGATCCACCTCAAGGAGGTGGTTTAAAAATTTGCTCCTGAGCAAATGCTCGTTTGCGGGGCAGCATCGATGTAAAATGGTACATGTGAACACTACAATTTGCTCCGGAGCAAATGCTCGTTAGCGAGAGGGGAGTAGCCTCGCTACGCATGAGAAGAGTTGATTACGTACCGTGAGAATGCGTTGCTTTCTTGCTCTGTCGGACTTCCGTCATGTGTTTGTTTAATAACACAAGACGTGGCTGGTAACGTAGCAAGCACCTCTTGGGTTATACCATCTCAACTAGAACGGGGTGGGGGGGGG